TTTTAGAGCATCCGAGCAAAGGAATGAATGGAAAACCATGATCGCCGATGTCTGTCGCAGATCTGGCACTGGATGATGATGATGATGATTCTCATTTGTTGATCCCAACAGAATTCTAAACTTTATAAAGGCCATTGGACTTTACCCTAAAATGTAAAGATCTAGATAGTTGTTTCTTTTTAAAAATTGCAAATTGCTGGGTTTAAAAAAAATATCTTTTAATCCATTTAAAAACTGAATTTTCGCCATGACATGTTTAACCTTACCATAAGGTAAAATCAACTCGTGGTGTGAACTGTTGTAAATCATATGACAGCAGCTTGTGTTTCTCGAGCTCATAAATGACCTTATGAAGTAGCGAGCGCGTAAAAACTCTTACTAAACGATTAGCAAAGCCTAATAGTCATTGTGATATGTGACGGTGGACTCCGCATTATATGTTTCTATTTGTCATCCAAATATCACTAGTAAGTTGTTATGTCGGTCGTTACAACTCCAGTGTTTAATATTATCATTCTTTTGTGTGTCCGTAAGCTTCTAACTACAATGAATAAAACCTTTGTATATTTGTTAGGTTCTGCAACTCTATAAGCAACTTTGTACTGAATAGACATCAGCCAAGCCTGCTTTTCATCTAAAAGTCTTTAAACAGCCTTACATTTTTTTTTAACCCAAAGTCTTTGATAAGCCTTCATGTTGGTCGTTACACTAGCTGTGTGAAACACAATCCATAATTATGTTTTTTGTTGGTTTAGCTGTAACAACCGACAAAATCATTTCACTTTAAAACCTGGATTTTCAATTCTGGAAACAACTTCTTACGGAATAGATTCCAGCGAACAGCAGCATTCTTTTTTTTCTGGTCATCCATATATCACTAAAACGTTTTTATGTCGGTCGTTACAATTTCAGTGCTGGGTGTCATCTAGTTTTTTTGTATGCAGGTAGTAACAATAAATAAATCCTTTTTGTAAGTAAATGTTTCTGTAACTCTACAAACAGCTTTATAATGACTAGGGTCTGCAATTGATCAGCCGAATAGACATAATACGGGCTGGCTTTGAGGCGATGATGAAAATGACGACAACAACGGCGACGACGACGACGACAAAGAATATTATTAGCCGAATAGAAAAGACAGGAGCACCCGAAGACCGATAAAAATAGATTAATAAAGAATTCATCTGGCGTCTATGACTGCCACGACGGGTCGTATCAACATGATTGTGTGGTCGTATCGTTGTGGTCATTTGTCTGTGGTCATCTTCTGTGTGGTCATCTCTCCGTGGTCATCTGTGGTCATCTGTGGTCATCTGTCTGTGGTCATCTCTCTGTGATCACGTCCAAATTGCGCCATCTGTAGCCTGGAGCGAGCAGCGTCCGAGTCAAATTGACCAGCCTCTGTCCAATCACCGGACACTTTGTGGACCATAATCAACTTGGACCTGTTTAATTGACCCCTGGAGAGAGAGAGAGA